CTTTTGCTTTCATAGTTTTGTTATTGTTCTTTTGCTTAGTACTTTGAGCTTGTATTATTTTCGAAGAATTTGTCTTATTCTTAAAATCATTATTTCCAGACTCGACACACGTAATTTTATGAGCAATATTTTTATATGTGTCAGATGGAAACAAGTCTGGCTCATTTATTAAATCAATACATTTTAATTTCTTGTTTGTGTAAAACATTAATTTTTCAATGATCTCTTCGTCTACTTCTCCTTGTTTATGTACATAAGACTTTAGATGACCAATGTCCTCATGTGTTGTATCAATAATATCTAAATTATTTTCATAATTTTTAATCGATGTTTTTCTATTATTCTCTTCGGTTAATTGATAGATTTCTTCGTTTGAATTGTATGGTTCACCGATGCTAGATGCGCATTGTAAAATAGATTTGCAAGAAGAACAGAAACTTTCTAATTCTGATTCTTCATTCATATTTTTGTTAAGTTATTTGCGCGTTTTGAGTTTGGTACTGTAACAGTAACGGAAATTGCGATTCCATATTGATCATTTCCGGTATTTGAAATATTAAAATAATATGAGTTGGCAAACTCTTATGCGACATAAAAGAATTACAATTCATTTTTTTATTTTTTACATAAACGACAATAATTTCTCACATCAAAATATTTTTTTCATTAAAATGAAGTTTAATTTATTAAGGATCATATTCTGATATTCCCGATTATTATAACCAACCTTCTTGCAATTTTAAAATGTGTTGGGTTTTTAATACACGTACATTTTATTGAAATAGTCAAATATAGCATATAAATATATTGTATCGAAATAAATTTCATTTTCTTTTAATAACAAATAATACGCACGGTTTATTATAATAGAATTTATGAAAATTGTTACTTGAATCTAGATTAAACGCATTATGTTCAAAAACGCCTCTGATATGGTATTTGATATTTCCAAAAAAATTCTATATAAATTTTGTAACATGTAACATCTCTTCTACTTTGTATAATGTTAACATTAATGGCGTAATTTGATGGTCATTGGTTTCAATGTTTGATATTTAGTGAATTCTACTTTTCACTCGGATATAATAGATTCTATGATCATGTGTTTGTGAAAGTCACTCATTCATATACCTACAATGAATAATTAGTATTCAATATGATACAAATGTTACATGTTAATAGTTTTACATTTACAAATCGGCAGTCATTGCTGGTCTCTATGACACTACTACCACATTACAATATTCATATTACATCACAAAAAGAATCAGAGAAGTATTAAAGGCTTAATTTTTTTTGATATCCTTCTATGATGTAAATAAGAAACTGAATGGGAATCGTGTCGGCTCAGGTCCCCAAGTATTCTCCCTTCCATCAACTATTTACAATGTTTCCCCTCAAAATCTTTCAAAAGTACTGCAGTTATAATGTATAGAAACAAATAAACTGACAAAGTACCAATGTATAAATTAATACAATTTTAGAATTTTGTTTCACAGAAGTATATTGCGTTTCCTCAAATTTCTATTGCTGCACACTGCCGTCGCTTCCAATTTGATGTGAAAATGAAATATAAATGCAATTATAATGAAGGATGAATTTCTACAGATAATCTAATATCTTGGTCAAAAGGAAATTATATAGCTATCTAAAATTTCATTAAAATTAAACCTTTTCATTTTTCATCTTCATGAGAATTATATCATTTGTAAATTTTACCTTTTAACTTTCTAATCACTTTCATCAATCTACTTTCGCAATCTTATTTTTTTAAATACAATTTTTTAAATGTATCCTATTCTATCAATTAATTTAAGTGAGACACTTAGCACATCTTTTAAAAGAATTGAATAATTTTAATTTAGTCGTATAGTTGAATTTATACTGAAACAAAAATATTATACATTTCAATGTCGCGTTTACCATACTCAACTGTTACGTTATAAAGTTTTATAATATGTACACATGTATAACGTGCCGAATATCTCATTTAAAAATTGTCAAGCTATATATTAATATACTCAAGATTTCAAATTTCGTTAAATCATGATATCGAAATCCTTCACGATTTGAAGAAATTTGAACCAATACTTTCTACATGCACTCTTTCTTCTTTTTAGTTTATTAATCCATATCTCATTTTATAAATAAATCACGAAATGAAAATTACATATGATGTTGTTTATACTACACTGACAATTAGAAAATAAGATTAAGGAATTACCTTAAATTGTATTTGTAATCGATATTAATGCTGTCTCTTATACACATCTAGATGTGTATAAGAGACAGCTTTGATACAAAATGTTCATTCGTATAAATATGCTTTTTCAAATTGTGCGTACGTATGCGATGTTATTATGAAATATCTGTCTCTTATACACATCTAGATGTGTATAAGAGACAGCTTTGATACAAAATGTTCATTCGTATAAATATGCTTTTTCAAATTGTGCGTACGTATGCGATGTTATTATGAAATATCTGTCTCTTATACACATCTAGATGTGTATAAGAGACAGCTTTGATACAAAATGTTCATTCGTATAAATATGCTTTTTCAAATTGTGCGTACGTATGCGATGTTATTATGAAATATCTGTCTCTTATACACATCTAGATGTGTATAAGAGACAGCTTTGATACAAAATGTTCATTCGTATAAATATGCTTTTTCAAATTGTGCGTACGTATGCGATGTTATTATGAAATATCTGTCTCTTATACACATCTAGATGTGTATAAGAGACAGCTTTGATACAAAATGTTCATTCGTATAAATATGCTTTTTCAAATTGTGCGTACGTATGCGATGTTATTATGAAATATCTGTCTCTTATACACATCTAGATGTGTATAAGAGACAGCTTTGATACAAAATGTTCATTCGTATAAATATGCTTTTTCAAATTGTGCGTACGTATGCGATGTTATTATGAAATATCTGTCTCTTATACACATCTAGATGTGTATAAGAGACAGCTTTGATACAAAATGTTCATTCGTATAAATATGCTTTTTCAAATTGTGCGTACGTATGCGATGTTATTATGAAATATCTGTCTCTTATACACATCTAGATGTGTATAAGAGACAGCTTTGATACAAAATGTTCATTCGTATAAATATGCTTTTTCAAATTGTGCGTACGTATGCGATGTTATTATGAAATATCTGTCTCTTATACACATCTAGATGTGTATAAGAGACAGCTTTGATACAAAATGTTCATTCGTATAAATATGCTTTTTCAAATTGTGCGTACGTATGCGATGTTATTATGAAATATCTGTCTCTTATACACATCTAGATGTGTATAAGAGACAGCTTTGATACAAAATGTTCATTCGTATAAATATGCTTTTTCAAATTGTGCGTACGTATGCGATGTTATTATGAAATATCTGTCTCTTATACACATCTAGATGTGTATAAGAGACAGCTTTGATACAAAATGTTCATTCGTATAAATATGCTTTTTCAAATTGTGCGTACGTATGCGATGTTATTATGAAATATCTGTCTCTTATACACATCTAGATGTGTATAAGAGACAGCTTTGATACAAAATGTTCATTCGTATAAATATGCTTTTTCAAATTGTGCGTACGTATGCGATGTTATTATGAAATATCTGTCTCTTATACACATCTAGATGTGTATAAGAGACAGCTTTGATACAAAATGTTCATTCGTATAAATATGCTTTTTCAAATTGTGCGTACGTATGCGATGTTATTATGAAATATCTGTCTCTTATACACATCTAGATGTGTATAAGAGACAGCTTTGATACAAAATGTTCATTCGTATAAATATGCTTTTTCAAATTGTGCGTACGTATGCGATGTTATTATGAAATATCTGTCTCTTATACACATCTAGATGTGTATAAGAGACAGCATGTATATCTACATTCTTCGTATTAAAAATACAATAAAATATATCCGGTTCTGCTTTCATAACTTAGGATTTTAAGAAAGTAAATACTGGTATATGTCTTTGAATATATTTTGTTCAAATAACACTGTTTTTTATCTTTATGATAACAGTAAGAATTGAATAATTATTTACAACAATTGTAAAAAACTTGAACAGAATATGATAACTTTTTCGTGAATAGATCATTTTCATTAGTTTGAAACTCTTTTCACATATACCAGACAAATGAATTATTAAATAATTAACTATAGTTGAAAAACATTATTTCCATCCTTTTGTATGCTTTGATACCTTCTGCAGACAATACTTCCACGCTCAAAAACACATGATCTTAGAATCACAAATCATCAAATTTGTTTTACGTTTTCATTCGATTAAATATTAACTATAGTAACCATATCAGAGTTTAAATTTTTATAATAAAATTAGAAGCTTTTCATTTTTATAGAAAAGTACGAAATAAGCTGCATCCCAATTTTTAAACTTTTGAATGATTTCATGCTATTACTGGACATTTAATCATCATACATTATTTAATTATGCTGCTATAAAATTCATCACGAACTTTTCACGCTCGGACAACTTGCACCAACGCAATTAGTCATCTTTGATACAAAATGTTCATTCGTATAAATATGCTTCTTCAAATTGTGCGTACGTATGCGATGTTATTATGAAATATGATACGAGTAACAAACTAATCAACCATGATTGAAATTATAGATTTAAACGTAGAGTAGATACTGTTCTTTGAGTATTATACATTATAATACGATTTCATTTTTCTTTGAATAATATTTTGAATAACATAAATGTTAACAACAACGATTACTTGTTATTACGTGATTACGGTTGGTGCATCGCGTCCGGTGTATTCACGCAATTTACTTAAGTCTAGTGCAATATTAACTAATGTTTTAAGAACTTCTTGAGCATCTTTCTTGAAAGATGTTGGATCATCTTCGTAACTATCAACATACACACGAATAGTAGCGCCAGAACTTCCTGTACCAGATAGACGGTATATTATACGGGAACCATCTTCGAACAGTATTCGTAATCCCTGCACAAATAAAATGGCATAAAAAAGATGTATCAGCAAAAGATGAATTCTTTTAAAAATCGTAATGCACCTGTTTATTGGCTTGGCTCCCATCAACAGGATCTACATAGGAGTAATTATCAGCTAACTTAACAACGTATGTCTTGCCTGCAGATGTAAATGTTTTACCTACAAAGTCAGGCTTTTGGATTTCGGTTTCAATAAACTGCATCATTTTATTCGCTCCTTCAGATTCACAATTTTCATAATCATATCTAATAAAAATACAAAATAAGTATTAATAAAGTGGACCGTCGTTAAACTACTAGTACATTCCAATTCGTTTTTGGAAGGAAATATACCTAGTGAAAAAGTTTCTTCCATAGATTTGCCAATGACTTAACAATATTTCTTCTACAGATTTACCGAGATTCGAAATTACACTAAGCCATGCAAGACATGCCCATATCCCATCTTTCTCGCGAATGTGATCAGAACCAGTGCCGAAACTTTCTTCTCCACAAATTGACAGAAGCCCAGCATCCATTAAATTACCTAACATGATTAATAAATGAATAGTTGTTCTACTATGTGTACATAAAATATTTTAGATAAATTCATAGTTCAAATATCATACCAAAATACTTCCAGCCAGTGGGTACTTCAAAGAATTTAATTCCAGTTTTAGCAGCAACTCTATCCACAGCAGCACCTGTTGGCATAGACCTGGCATAGCCTTTAACACCAGTTTTCTTAAAATATGGTATTGCATTCAAGTTAGCAGCCAACACAGCTACTGAATCAGAGGGGGTAACAAAGAATGCATTCTTGCCCAAAATCTGAAGGAATAAAGTTATACATATACAAATTTTGTACATCTTTTTATTTTGTTATTAATACTCATTTATCATTTGTATTTACCATATTTCTATCACCATCTCCATCAAAAGCAGCACCAAAATCATATGGACCATTTCTTATAGCATCTACCAAGTCTTTGGCATAAGTCAAATTGGGATCAGGATGGTGTCCTCCAAAATCTTCAAGAGGAGTTGTATTAACAATGCTGGAGTCATCAACACCTAATTCGTTGCTAAATATTCTTTTAATATATGGCCCAGTAACTGTAAGTAACAATATCGTTATAATAATCGATAAACATTAAATAATTAAATAATAGTGTTACAAATTCTGATTTATGTGTACCTCCATTCATTCCATTAATAAGAACCTTAAAATTTCCTTGAAGCAGATTCTTAATGCTGGAGAAATCAAAAATATCTTTCATAAGCTCTAAGTAATCATTCACAGAGTCTATCACATCAACTATGAAGCTGTTTCCATCAATCTGAATAGTAGTGCTTTGTATCTTATCTATGTCTACATTTATATCAGAAGCAATTTTATAGCTTTTCAGTTGTGTGGTAATTTCATGGATTTTATTTGTCACATTGTCCGGAGCTGGACCACCATTCTCACAATTGAATTTGATTCCAAAATCAGCATCAGGACCACCAGGATTATGAGATGCAGTCAGAACAATTCCTCCTTGGGTCTTGTATTTTCTTATTATAGTGGACACTGCAGGAGTTGAGAGTATTCCATTCTGGCCAACTATTAGCTTCTTCACCTAAAGTATTACATAAAAATGATATGAGTATCACTTGTCATGCTGTGCTGTCGTTTTTACAATGAGAAAGTTACAATTATAGATCACATTATCTATGACTAGCTAAAGTAAAAGATGACTGAACAACATAAAATATAAGGCATGCCGAACCCGTTCTTGAAAGCTCGAATTTTCATTGACCTACAATTGTTATTATTAACAATATATTAAATTGGTAAAAATTGCATAAACTTACTCCGTTAGCCGCAGCGATTCTGATAATTTTTCCAACTGCTTCTTTGCCGTAATATCTTCCGTCACCACCTACAACTAACGTGCTACCAATCAACTGATTACCAAGTGCTTCAAGTATTGCTTGAACGAAATTTTCCGTATAATGTTCTTGCATAAAAACTTTCACGGCTTTTCGCAGTCCTGAGGTACCCGGCTTCTGGCCCTCGTACACTCGAGTTTCTATAATTCTACTTGTCACTGCACTCGACATATTTAAAATTGTTGTACGACTTACGAAACGATAACTGAAACAAAGAATAAAAACCTTTCGTAACCTAGCCCGATTACTTAGTAATGAGAATTCAGATTTGGGAATTTCATAACACGTCCTCGGTGTCTGCTAGCAGACTGAACTTTGTCTGCCAATGACACACAAGGGCACGAGTTACCATCTTGAAACACGCGCGCGCACATTACCATCAACTAATAATATCGTTTCGCGGCAGTTGGACAAATCTTTTGAATTCAAAAGAAATATTCTTGCGTGCGTAATTACGATAACTGATTGCAAAAATCCGATAGAAAATTTTGTTGACAGAAGTTTCTATCGGCGCATTAATTCTTGCAGTAGCTGCCGTTCAATGTGTACTATGTTAGTGGTGTAAGTAAAAATGTCGAATTGAACTCGTCTTATCTCGCTCAAGTCTTGAGTAAATAACTTTACTGTACAAATTCTCCCTGGAACGTTGCCGATTGAGGAACAATCGTTTTATTTTCTGCTGTTCATTGAACTCCTTATTTTGACTAAATAATGTGTAATAACATTTGTGCTCAACGATATTCGCCGAATCTCGTGACCCGTGTGCGATTTAAAAAATTAGAATGCCGATCCAGATAAGAGCCTCGAAAGAAGTGAGCATTTGGACCAAAGACTAAATTCCATTGCGCCATTCGGATGAGACCAATCTTGTTCGATACACGAAAATGTGAAAAGGAGATTTCGTGTAAAATTCATACGCGCATGTAGAGAAGCGCTGCCTATTATGTTGATCGGTATTAGTCGCGAAGAAAAATGAAGAGGAGGGAGCTTGTTATGTCAAGGATGCCCGATATAAGTACGCGGGTTTACAAAACAGAGACTTAGTTGTTTAAAACAACGGTTTTCTTGAAGTCATCACTGTGAAGCATGTCTGCCTTGAACGACAGTGTCATTTCAAAATTATTTGATTCTTAATTTAACTATAGTTTGCGTTAATAATCGAAAAAATTCCGTTATTTTAAATAATCCTTTAGTCTCAATAAGTACTTCAACATATCTACTCTAAACATTTTATATGGAATATCTTGACATACACTAATATAAACTGTATCGGGTAAGTCACTTTTGAATATTTATTATAAAAATGTTATAGACGCCATAGAATACGATAAATATAACTTTCCTTTATTCTAATAATAAATTTCTTTTATTTAAATAGTTTATTTGGTACAAAATTAATTAAATATACTATGTATAAGGCAAATGATTGGGATTTTGGCATGCAACACGATAGTGGATCAGAGAGTGCCCCATTACTCTCTTCAGAATCTCATACAAGCATAGAATCTACTATATTTAATGATTCAGAAACGAGTGACTTTGAATGTACACCTACCAGTACATATTTCAAGTACTGATTTTTGTTATTTTTGGGAATTTAATTGAGATATTAATTAAATAATATTAATACTGCATGTTACATAAAAGATATTCTTGTTAAACTTGCTAACATTAATTATTTAACATTGATTAATGTAGATATGGTAGTTTGGAAGCTTGTAATGTTAATTCCCCAGTAACTGTAGTACCAAAGAGACCACCACCCATCACTCAAAAACACACAGCAATTATATTATTGACCAACTCCTGTCCACTAAATGTAACACAACACAGATGTTATGACATTCATAATACTGATCTGGTGAGAATACCACAAACATTTTAATTTTCCATATGAAGGTTGAATGAGTTACAGATGTGCATACACTTCTGTAATTTATAGATTCTTAATTTAAAAAAGAAACAAACTTGTTCCCTATAGTAAAGATTTTGTTATGTTGATATAATAATATATAAATATTATTTAGTTTTATTGAAATCTTCATTTTACAAATATCATATCTTGTTAGTTAATTCCATCAAGATAAAGTTTCACTTTATATAAAATTAATAATTACTCTGCATTTCAACATTATTAATGTAAATATTATTTTTTATTCTACCAGATATTTAATAATGACACATGT